TGCATAACAGTATTTCTTAATTACCTTCATTAGATATCGCAGGGTTATCAAGAGCAGAAATACTCGAAAACATAGAAGTTGAAGAATCGGAAGCAGAGCAAGTGTTTTTGGGAGCGTCATCAATTTCTGGATTGGTCGCAGAACCTGTCGGCAAATATGGAAAGATGGTTAGTATTTAAAATAAAACATTCGAATGAAAAAATTCACCACCCTAAGGAATTAAACCTGCTCCAAGGTCATAAACCAGCGGATCACCTGTTCTTGAACAAGCTCCGTGAAAACAATCCCTAAGTTTTTGTGTAAAAAATTATTAATGGGTTCGGAGGGAGATCATCCCTTCTTTCCTAATTCTGGAGCAATCCTAAGGAAATAAATAAAAATTATGTATAAATTTATTATAAAATAATAAATTAATAACCACTAACTTCCTACATTGTTAATATTACAAGATTATGCAAAATAATGGATGTGATGTAAGGAGAACGCTCGTAGGCATAAAAAAAAAAAAAAAAAAAAAAAAAAAAAAAAAAAAAAAATTACCTTTCTCAAAGTACGGTCTCTTCTTCGCCGGTGGCATATGCTTTTGTCCTCCTTTACGTTTACTACTACGTAATACTGTTTTTGGAAGAAAAACCGAATCATCAGGGTCTTTCTCTGGAATTTCTTCTTGGCTATTGGTTGCGTCTTTGCAATTCTTAATCACAGATGTGTGGAGGTATCGCGGGGTTACATAGCGCTCCCCCCTGTGCTGGGGATTCTTGTTGCGCGTAGCCCCACTCTTGAGCGCGAATTCTTTTGTCGGGTCTTCGATTGGCGGTATGTGTCTTGTTGTTGAAACAATTACATTTTTAATTTTGAAGGCGGGATCCACCCCCTCCAAATGCTGTACGCTATACTTTGAAGATCCGTTAGAAATGTAGTATACGAATTTCGGAGCTGTTAATTGTTCCTTGAAAAACGCTAGGACCTCCTCCATTTTCTGGAACAAATGAATGTACATACAGAATTTTATTTTTAGCGAATGAGCACGTGGAAACTGAAGTTTTAGGCTACTAATAAAGTTTGGAAGAAGTAGCCCTGTACTGCCCGACTTCTAGTACATGAACTAGTATTTTGGCGCTTGTTTATGAACTTGCCAGCAGAGAGGCATTGAGGAACGAACGGGCAACGCCATTACAAAACAGTGGTACTATTCCTTCACGTCAGTTGACCTTTCGTTACTCCATGCCTTTCCGGAACATCATAAACTAAACCAAATTAGTTCCGGAAACTAATTCCATAATAGTCCGTAGTTTAAGCGTTAAAAATTACTAGATATGATGAATTTTAACAAAAAGTTACATAGAGTACAACTCAGTCATATCTGGATGCCAGTGGGATATCCACCCATTTTTTTTTTCTCTCTCTTCCCTCACTTTCCATTTACGTAACATTCAGACCGAACGTGCAAATAGATTAATTTGCATCAAACACTTTTAAAGCACGAATCATGCGAACAATTCATTAGAATTAAGAAGGTTTAGGGTAGCAAGTAAAAAAAAAATTTATTAGAATTAAAAAGGTTAAGGGTAGTATGTAGAAGAAATTTTTTTTTAGGAGGTCGCTCACTTCGCCTGAGCGACAGTTTCCAAACAACATGGAAATTTCATCACCCCCCTCCCTCACTCACAGAAATTAGGGACGACCCAATGGTTGTCATAGGGCCCAAACCCATTAACGGTCACCTACCTTCAGAACACCACAAAATTTGTCTTCACTTAGGACTCCAAAGATCACCCTAACAACAGAACTCTCAAAAGAAACGTGCTTCGGGGGCCTAACTGAAGATAAATATCCATTTACAACATTGATTTCAATTCACTTGTCACACGACATGCCAACATAGATTAAGGCTCCAAAAAATGCTAGATTTCTGAGACAAGAAAGAAACAAAAATCAGCATCTTGTAAAGACCAGCTTCAAAGATTTCACGTATCCAGACGTGGATATAATGCACGAAGCCCTAAGACTTGCCACTCAACTTAGGAAAACTTCGTGTAGTATGTTCAAACTGGTTCTGTCTCTTCCAAACTTAAATATAAGAGCCGTCGGGGGAACATCTGCTACTGTCAATACAAACTCTAGCAATAAATATATTTAGTGAATTGAGTTTAAATTGAATGTATTTTAGTATTTTTAGCAAAGTGAGCGCCAGAGTAAAAGCCGGCGCAGCCGCAGTGTTCTCAAAATGAAGTACCTTTCATCTTTGACACGTTAATTAGATCTAAGAGATCGTCTACTAGATCGTTAATTGGAGTCGAGATATGCATTAGGTGGTTATGTATGACATCGAAATACATCTTCAACAAATTCCATTCTTCCATGCTCATACTAAAAAAATTATTCGGCATATCCAGTTTGCCGAATAAAATTGAAACTGGGAAGTTAGCCGCCCATTCGATGCCTACACTTTATCGCTTTAAAACCGGTGTTATTTAAGTCGTAAACTCTAGACAACAGTAAATATGGTTTGGTTCTCCACTCAATCAATCCTCTTTTTCTGAGTGGCTCACCTACTGAATCGGTAGGAGCAGCATCATTGGTATCAAGGGGAGGGGGGGTTGTTCCTATTTTGTTGCTGTTGAGGGGGCACCTCTGCTACCAGCACATCAGTATTGATGACAGGAGAGAACAAGTCCAACGCTTTCTCCATTTCGGCCACTTGATAAAAATAGAATTATACAAAATGTTTCGTGTAAAATAAATTTATTCAAACACAAAATGGTTGTTATTGATCATTTCAAATATCTCAAAAAAAAGAAAGAAAAAGAAAGAGAAATAATAATACTATGTAAAAAAACGTATAACAACGTGTACGTATAACGTAAAAACAAAGAAAAACATAGATAAAACAAGTAAACATCAATGAGCAAAGAGTACCAAGTAATTCCTAATACCTAAATCCAGACCTGTCATTCTTATACTATCCATCGCCATTTCCGATACTCTCCAAGCCTTCTCCCTCGATCTTCTGTAGATCGTATTCCGCAGGTGGTAATACGGTATTATCTCCTCTTCTACCCCGTGCTGCTGCACTTGAAGGAGCGGGAAGGCGGGAGAACCTGCGGGACGCGATCTTCTCGGAGAATACAGTCTGCCCCGCCCTCTTCAAATCCTGCAGCCTTGCAAGCGCCGTCTTCTCCCTTAGCATGCAAAACCATCTTCTAGCCGTAACGTTCTTCATCTCGAAAACGTAGGAATTATGACCAAAACCGACCTCCTCGAATGTCGTTTTCATTTTTACGTCAGAAAGTGAAAGAGCCAATTGAAATGAACCTACGCTATGAGTAACACCGCGCTGTACCTCTAAGAAAATTGTCTTATCATTCTTGGACTTCGGGCAAATCTGGAAGAATGTTTGTATTGTGGAAAAAGGGTTCGAAAAGAACTATATCGGCACGAGGTTTGCTGTAAACCTTGCGGCAAGTTATGTATTATCGCTCAGAAACTTTAGTTTCTTTCTCTTTGTTCCGAAAATGCTTAAGGTGAGACAGAAGGTCTTTTTCATAAGAAATGTAATTCACAGTATAATCATTCCTATGGAATAATTTCACGTATAATCTACATGCGCTAATTTCTCGTAAATAAAGAACAAATGGCTTCTTACGAATGTACGAGGTAATTTTTCGAATCCAATGTTGCGGGATTGTCAAATCATGTGTTAGAAGGTGAAATATGTACGAAAAATAAAGAATACAACATATTCGTACGTATTTAAGGTGAGACAGAAGGTCTTTTTCATAAGATATGTAATTCACAGTACAATTATTTCTATGGAATAATTTCACGTATAATTTACGTGCGCTAATTTCTCGTAAATGAAGAACAAATGGCTTCTTACGAATGTACGAGATAATTTTTCGAATCCAATGTTGCGGGATTGTCAAATCATGTGTTAGACGGTAAAATATGTACGAAAAATAAAGAATACAACGTACGAGTTATGTCAAAAAATTATAATTTATATTGTAAACATAGCATTAGACTTCCATAACATCCCGCACCTTCCCTCGCAAGTCCGCAAAATCATTGCGCATAGTGAAGAGATGATTCAGTTCGGGCGGCCGGATTAAGTTGTTGTTGGCGAGCAACATTCTCCTCCGCCACCTGCGAATTGTTTGCGAAGGAGAGGATCATGTTCCCGCCATCAGAGAGGGAATTCGCTAAGGTTCACCCACGCTGACAGGAGTTTCCGGCACTTTTCCGGCTTGTCAGCACTTCTAATGGAGGTGAGGGGTTGGGGGTTTGAGGTTTATGATCGATGATCGGGATTCGATGGCTGCCCTCCCCTCTCGAGATAGTACCCTCATTAACGCAGGATACCATCTCGTTTATAATCCGCGGTAAATGAATCAAATGAGCGTCGCGGCGATATTCGATGTTCAGCCGTACATTAGGTATCGGGGAAACTAGACTTAATGGCTCTATTCATACCCATTCGCGATATTAATTTCATTAAGTCGTCTAGATCTAAATCAGCCTAATGGCTAACGGAACGTTTTAAATCATAAGTTACTCACAATTTACGATTCTACCCAAACATTACTAGGGACCTAACCCAATAGACGCTACCGGCGCCAGAGACGAGCAAAGATGGGTTGTAAGTCCCAATACCCTCAATTCTGTCTATGATCTGACCTCTATTCATGTCCAATATAGCGGCGAGCTTCCGGTACAGATATAAATCCAAGCCATCATCATTGGCTAGATTACCCAGCAAGACGTTAATCCTACTAGGTGGTATAGCCGGAATGAAGTTAGGATCAGCTCTGCGGTAACAGATTTTCGGAATGATAGCTATAGTTCGAGGTTCGTAAAAGAGCATAACTGACACAGACATGAGACATAACTGACTGAATTCAGAGACAAGGTGGAGACTGAATTAGAAATACCACCCGGACAAAGATGCTTTGTGCATGGTAGAAATTGTCTTTTGAAATCCGGCTTTNATTCATGTCCAATATAGCGGCGAGCTTCCGGTACAGATATAAATCCAAGCCATCATCATTGGCTAGATTACCCAGCAAGACGTTAATCCTACTAGGTGGTATAGCCGGAATGAAGTTAGGATCAGCTCTGCGGTAACAGATTTTCGGAATGATAGCTATAGTTCGAGGTTCGTAAAAGAGCATAACTGACACAGACATGAGACATAACTGACTGAATTCAGAGACAAGGTGGAGACTGAATCAGAAATACCACCCGGACAAAGATGCTTTGTGCATGGTACAAGTTGTCTTTTGAAATCCGGCTTTCTGGGGCAGTGTTGGTTTTTTTGTCTTTTTAAAATAAGATAAGATAATAGAAGGTAATATAATTGAGTTTCTAAAAAAAATAAAATAACCACAGTAGCGACAAACTACTAAGTTTCTTGATTGACTTCAGGAAAATAGCCAAACCAATACGCAACAACAGCAGCGCAAATAATAGCTGAGCGGGAATCCTTACGCTTAACTCTATAATATGAAAATACCCAACAAGATTGCGCGATATACTCATATATAGTCATACTGGGCGAGATGTAAACGAATATGACTATACATGCGGAAACGGCTATTTTAGCAGTTTCGGGAAGGGTTACAACGGAAGGCAGAAATTCAACGAGTCCGAAAAATTTTCCTTCGTTTTTTAGCACCCATTTAGAATGAGTGCTGTTCTCTGATTTCAAATAGAGCCCGACATCAGTTCTCTGAAAATCAACATAAAAGTTGACCATGAAAATAGTTGATACGATTGTAATCAACAAAAACGTCCCATTATTAGTAGCAGTCTTTTAAGGAGTGAAGATGTCTTGCCCTATTTCCTGCAAATCAAAAATTTTTGGTTCCTCTTTCTGAACGGGCGGAGGGTTTTCTGTCCTCGTCATCGGACGGGATGGAGCCCGAATCGATGTAACACCCATATTTGTCACGGGTGTCGTTTGACCGTTGAAAGTTCGTCGTATGGATGAATCCACGAGACAGATAGATGTGAATTGAAGATATTAACTCGTATGGAAGGCCGTTTGCACCTATAAATTAAAAACTGAAAATATATTTTTCTTTACCACACATTTTTGTGTGCATTTTTGCACGAAGACAAAAAATACATGATGACAAGTGAAACTGCCTCATATTTATGCCCACGATTGCGACGCCAGTTATACCAAAAAATCACTGTGTATAGAAAATTATGAATCATTATAAAGATATTTACAATTGTGCGTAAAATATGTAGAGTGCAAAATAAAAGAAAAAATACCTGTCAAATTGTCCCTGCTAGTCTAATATCATAAACCACCGTGAAAAAATTATCGCTAATTGAGCCGTGGACTGTCATCTGAGGTATTTTTTGATTGAACTGTCAGAGTAGAGGATGATTCTGTGTCAATGAATAGCAACTATGTGGTGTTTTTTTTGGCAATGAAGAACGTATGGACAGTTCCCATGTTTAAAATCATTCGGTGCATGATTGAGCCTGGAATTTTTGATGAAGGCTGAGGAGTACTTCTTCTCATTTTCCCACTTACTATTGTCAACATTGTCTAGAAATCGATTAGAGTAGTCCGACAATGTTGCAATGTAATTTGAACAGATGTTCTCTCCACATTGGCCTCTACTACAATAAACTACTTAGTTGGAAGGCTGGTAAATATACTCAAGTGAGTAAAGCAAACTGTTCTTCAACTGAGTTATCATTATCATAATTTTGTTACCATTTTTTTGTTCGAATACCAGTTTATTACAAATATGTAAACTGACCTTGTTACTATACATCCTTTCTTAAATACACTCTGGCGAACAATCTTCAGTTATGAGGGTGTCTTCGTCAGGATACAAATTACTATATGACTGTGTGTATTTCTTGTACAAACTAAGTCTGTCGAGTCCGCTACACCAATTAGAAGGAGGGTGGTCTTGCAGTCCAGTGCGCGGCCTACCCAGCGCAGCTGCGCGTCCTCCGCGTATCGCAACAGTCGCCATGTCTCCTCTGGTGTGCTCCCATCGAAGCCGTAACACTGACTCAACAGTTTGGACACAGAAGACAAGGGCATCCAGAACCGTGTCGCGTCCCCAACATCGTCACCCGCGAGGTACAGTTCGTCCCCTTCCAGCACCAGAGACCTCCTGAGATCCGCCCCAGTGGGATGGAAAGTCTCCACTTTCCTCACTGGCGGAGTAGCAGGCGGAGTCCTGACGATGTCCGGAGCGTTTTGTTCGCCAAACGACGAGTAGTCCTCCGCATTCGGGTATATTAACCTCAATGCGGAGGATTTCCTTCCTGCCATTATTTTTGCTCGAGGGGCTGCAACTGGGGGCACTTCCACCGGTGTGGGCAAGTCGTCCTCCAGCTCCAAGTTTAAATTCGGGCTCTAGCTCCAAGGATACAACGCCACTTGTTCTTAATTACTCCATCCACCCTTTCCACACAGTTCCGCGCTAAAATGTGTGCAGCCGTGCAGCGGCCCTCTGGAGAATCGGGGTCTGCACCGACGATTGGAACCAGCAACCAGGATTTCAAAGGATAGCCGCTGTCACTAGTGTGTTTTGTAAGCTGGTCTCGTTTATCTTGGACCTGGCATAATTCTAGGCAAACATAGATGCTGATATTTGAGAATACTCAGCATTAGACAAGATGGTCTGTTCGTCCGACCGGATATGACTCTCTACACCATCGATGTGCTCTTTGATCGCCTTTTGAGAAAGATAAGTATATAATCCCATGCCTAACGAGACTACACCAAATATCGTGGCGGCAATTGGAATTCCCGCAAATCTCTTGTTTCTGAGAGATTGCTGAGAGCGATTGAGAATCTGATTGCAATGTGTTCCAGGTAGGGTGCAAGGTGTATCACCCTGACCGTAAGATGTTTTTGGCAATGACTGAATAATTTTGGCAGTCCTTGCCTGGAAATCTTTCTTTAAATCTTCATGGCCCGAACTACAATGCCATAGTTCGAGAGTCACCAGCTAGAGTTTTTAAGTTTCTGTAGTCGCCGTAAACGGCGATGATGCCCAACGCTTCTTGGTACTGCGTCACAAGAGCGTCTCTCTTTTCAGAATAGGCAAAGTATTTTTATGAAGCGCCATCTGCAGAAAAACTCGCTGCAAATTCTCAGGCAGGTGTTTAAGTGCATCGGTGGCATCGGTGGCATCGGCTCCAGAGAAAACTGACCTGCTAAACAACAACAACAACAAATCGACCCTAACCCTACTCGAGTGTCATGAATTTATTACAATTTGCAATTTACAATGCCGTTTATTGCTCTTGTTTTTCTTACTGGAGGTTTAAGTGTTTTACATTGTAAGTACCAATTAGAGGCTTTTTTCTTAATTTTATTTGTGGAATTTCCATCTTGAGGAATTATGCTTACTAGCTGTTTGTCGCGTGCTTCATGCACCTCTAGTCACTTACAGTATTTGGCTCGCTCCGCTAATCCCTTTTTGGTGAACTTTCATGCATAGTAGATCAGGTGCGTCTACCTACAAAACCTGCATGTATTATCGGCTGTTCAGCTTGCAGCTTTATGAAATGATTTAAATGAGACTCTGCTGGGTACTGTCATGAGATAAATGGTTTCAAATGTTTGAGACTGCGGATGAAAGCTCCGAAAAAAATTTCAGGCCCCCTGTTTAGATGATAGAAATTATTTTGTTTGGAAATTTCTTGGCTTCAATTCCTGCTTGACTCGAACCATCCTTTTTCATTGATATCGCCAGGGCAGCACATCATGCTACCTTGCATATTACAACGTTATCATGACAAGTTTTGGGGTCAGGAAATCTCCGATGTTTTAGCAACAAAGCTCTGATGTGTTACATAATTTCTTTCAGAATTTTCCGAAAGCTCCAAAAACTCCAATTATCTAATCCCTACAAATGTTTAAAACTATCCAGGTACACAAAATTTAGCAAACTTTTGGGCAAAATTTCAGAGAAATTGTGCGGAAATGGCATTCAATCAGTCTTAAAGAATAAATTGTTAAAACTATCTTGGAAAAGATATGAAAGTTCTGAATATTGGACATAACTCTGTGGACTGGGGACACTGATCAATACTTCTTAAACCTTGCTCTGTGTGTAACAGTACATACTTCGTCATAGATCAGAATTCATCCCGTTCACTCCCTCCCTTGATCACATTTAGTATAGTTCACGCTAACCAATTTATTGTGTTATTTTTTTTATCATGTGATTTTTATGAATGACAATGCTCTAGTTTGTGCCATTATTTTTGTTTCCAGAAATCTGTTAGGCATTGTTGCTGAGGCTTTCAATTCATTGAAAAATCAAGATATTTTCTCTCACGCTGAAAATGGACTTCTTTGAGAGGGTGCTTAGAAATTATGAAACTGTGACAAACTGTATCAGGCAACAAAATGCAGAGCTTTTATCACTTCAGTTACCAACTTTTTCCGAAAATTATAATTTGTTTGCTCGTATTTCTGAAAATATTGATGATGTTGTTACAAGCTGCTGGTTATCTGGTCTTTTGAATCTTTTTCGAGATCGAATGGTGGAGTGTGAAAATTTGTTGGCCAGATCATCAACTGAAGTACCGCTTAATGTATCTTGTATTAATTTGCCATTGTTACGTGAAGGGCGCAATGGTAGAGCCAGAATTCATATTCCAGCTGATCAAGTGATTGCATTAAGGAATTGTGGTATTGCTTGGAAGAAAATTGCTCAGATTTTAAATATTTCACGTGATACTTTACGGAATGCTCAGAAGCGAAACCACATTGAAGATCCGAGAAGTTACCAAGATGTGAGTGATAATGAGCTATTGACTGTAATAGCCGAAATCAAACGAGAACACCCTTCAGCTGGATACAGATACGTGTGGTCAGCATTGAAATCTAGAGGTATATTTGTTCCAAGACGTCGATTGATGGCACCAATTAGAACTATCGATCCAATCGGAGTACTAAATAGACGTAGGCAGAGGTTACGAAGGAGGCAGTATAAAGTTAAAGCAGCAAATTATTTATGGTAAGTATCTTGTTTTTCTAAGGCAACTGAAAAATTGAACTAAAGTGATAGGAAAGATAATGCTATCATAAAAAATTGGAAATTATTTTTGAATTAAAATCCGTGACCTTTTCAATACTGCGTACGATTATCTACATTCTGCGACTCGCTTGCTCTTTTATTTTTATTTTCTGCTCTAGCTGCTTTTTATGTGTACGAAATGAAAAGTATTGATAATAATAAATGATGAAGTAACGATATATTTGTCAACGAAGACAGAAACAACAAGTTCCGCCTACTTTTGCTAGAGTGCGTAAAATAATTCACTGGGTGCAATGAGTGGGTGCAAGCTGCTAACGGTAAATTTCGTATATTTCTATTTCCACCGTCTTTTTTTTCTTCATGGGTGATGTCACATTTGCAAAAAATTGCCATGACTTTACTGAAATACTTAAGAATAGTGGAGTAATATCCACCTGCAGATTGGGAGCATGGCTTTCTGTATAAATACACCACAGGTCTATGCCTCATCATATTTGTCATAATTTCTCATTTTGTGGGTAGGTTAAAGGACTCTTATAACTGATGGGTACAGAAATATTGGAATTATGATTCTGTTAGAATTATATTAAAGTTCTTTTGATTTTCTTTTAGAATTATTTTGTCTTTGTGTTTTGTTACAGGCACATGGATGGCAATGAAAAACTTGTTAACTGGAATATGTACATTCATGGTTGTGTCGATGGCCTAAGTCGAAAAATTATCTACCTTGAATTAAGTCTTACAAAATTAGCTGAAGTGGTGTTGGAATTCTTCACCCGAGGAGTAGCTGAAAATGGTCTGCCCATGAGGGTGCGTGGCGATCATGGAACTGAAAATGCCCGTGTTATCGACTTTATGAACGACAGACGTTCAACCATTGACACTCCATTTATTTTAGGTAAAAGTGTACATAACACAAGAATTGAAAGAATGTGGGGGGAAGTAAACAGAATTGTTAGTTATAAATTTCGTACCATTTTTCATTATTTAGAAGACTGTGAAGTTTTAAGCCAACTCTCATTATTAGACCTGTTCATCATTTGGTATGTTTACTTTCCCAGAATCCAAAAAAGTTTAACAAACTTTAAAAACTCTTGGAATCAGCATGGACTGAGCACGGTAAATAATCGAAATCCTAATGAAATATGGCTTACCAGTTTAATACAACTTAGTTATCAAAAAGATGTATTTGGGTTAAGTCTGGTTCCTGAGCGTTTGAGTTTTAATTCCAAAATAAGGAGTGAATCGTTCACTGATATCCTCCTAAAAAGTAATCTTGGACTCGATTTAAATACAATTGAACATTACTGTGCAATCTTTGAGGAATTAGTTCCTGATCCTATGATAGACGATAACCGAGAAGGAATAAATCTTTATTTAACGTTGCGTAATCATTTCTATAATGAGTGAATTTTGTGTTTAAAAGAACAATTCCATTCTTTCAAACTAGAGCGCTTCTCTATAAATTCAAAAACGAACAAAACGCACTTCTACCTTTCATTGTGTTCATTGGGTGAAAAGTATCGTGGGAAAAGGTTGCAGCTGGTTTTTTGGTTAAAAAACATATTGCATTAATTTTTCTTCAGCTCAGACTCAGAGAAAAACAAAATTCTATCCTTTGGACAAGTTCTTCGTCACATTACTTATTACCTTAAAAAATTAAATGAGCCGGGAGGATATTTTAATGTTTGAAGGATCCATTTTTGTGTTTTTGGGGCCCTTAAAAATCGTGAGCACCAAAAAAATTTAAAAACCTACCCATAACCGAAAACTGGTGACTTTAAATAACCTGATTTTTGAGGTTCCTGCTCTGAAAAAGGTATGTGGCGCGAGTCAAAACTTGGTCTGATGGCGCTTAAAAAAAAAGAGAAAAGAAAAAGGAAAGAGGGAAGGAGTTCAATCAGTTAATCTAAATGTCTTCAGGCGATTTTAATTTACTTTGTTGTTGACATGAGCAATAACATGAATTTCCCCGTAAAGGCAAGTAGACAGACTTTTTACTTGCACTTCTGGAGTGCAGGAACTTCAAAAATCGGAATGATTGAATTTTTGTCCTCTCAGTTATAAGTAGGTTTTGAAATTTTTTATGATTCTCATCATTTTCAGTAACCCCAAAAACAGAGGCATTGACCCTTGAAACATTAAAATTCCCAATTAGTATAAATAAGTTACGTACTACATTTATTTATTCAGAGAGTAATTAAAAGTGGCATTTTCCCCCAAAATTGTAAGTAAATACTCTTGATATGGAATAGAATAATCTTGATTTCAAGAAAATATTTCAATTCGTTTTCCAAAAAAAAAAAATTAGAGGAAATTGTGTGTTGTCACAATGAGTCTGTTTCAAACACTTTTTATGTAGCAATTTCAAACATTAATTCATATATAGTTCTGCGTAAAAATATCAATTGGCACGATAAAGACTCTAAAAAGTCACTCATAAGTTTTTGGAATATCTTTAAAAGTATACGTATCTTCAAACGGCGCCGACTCCATTTCTGTACTAATTAAATGGATTACTTTAAGAAGAAGAGAATATCCTCCAGAATTGGCTCCCCCTCATGCTTTTTCCCCCATCCAGCTTTTCTTTATTTAAGATATAACTAATTAAGGTGTCAGCATAAAAATTTTATGGATTATTCTCTGTATATAAGGGATAGTCCCTGAAATTTTCATAGTGATATCATCATTAGTTGTCCTCCAAACGAAGAATAACCAGAAAAGAAAACAGGCATGAGGCCCACCAATCCTTCAGGAGGATCTTCCCCTCTTCGTCAAGTTGCTCTGTGTATTTAGTACAGAATTGGAGACCACACAGCTTGAAAATATTAACTTATAATATTGTATGGCCTTAGGAGTTTGTAAGAGTTTTCATGGTACCCATCGTTATTTTTATGTACATAAGAATAGTTGCTTCAAAATGCTGTAATAACTGTTAACAACAGACCCATTGGGCTAAGTGGTTTTGACATGAAGCTATCCAGCTACAGAAGCTCATTCATATGTTGCAAATGCCTATTTTCTTGGAGCATGTTACAGACTTAAATTTTTCAGTCCAAAAGACTGTTTTTGAGATGTAGGTCTTGTAAGTATTTTACTTACTATTTATGATGAAAATATGTTTCATAGCGGAATTTTGTATTCGTGTATCACTCCTAAATAATTTTTTTCAATTATGAGTATATTTTGTACCTGATATATGAGCTACCTAATAAAATAACAAAAATATAATTTGTCTTACAATTTCTTCACTTCTTACAGCAGACATCTAGCGCCATTAGCTATGAACAGCAAGTTTTCTTTGTGTCGCTTCTTTAGAGAGTATGGCGGGTTTTTCTATTTTACAGCCCCTCTTGATTTGTCGGAAGGCGCGGGAGAAGGAAAGGAACCAGTGCGAGCTGTCCATAAATTGCATAACCCACTTTTCCGATAACCATTTGTCCCCACTCATGATGCATGCTCCTTAGTACCTATACTGTTAGTTTAACGGATATATGCTCCCTCATCGAAGTGTGTCACGTAACTTCTCAGGGAGGAAGTTAGCATCCAAACCCTCTTTATCTCAAAAAGTTGAAATGTGATGTCTCCTCACAACGAATTTGAAGGTTTTTTAGTGAGGTGGGGCGATAATTTTCTCTTAGTGTTAATTATTTTACCGCCACTCAAATTTTTACGAACTTCCCAAAATTTCCTGCCCTCCAAAAGCTGCTGTAGCTCACGATGTGCATAGCTTATTGGTAAATTTGCCCATGCTTCGTTGCTAATTTTTCTTTTTTTTTTCCCTGAAAAAATAGAAAGGCCGAGTTTTTACCATTGGATCTGAAAATTTAAAAGAGGATATCATTTAAAGGAAAACACATGTAAGGATGCTAACATCGAATCGATTTTCTCCCAAAAACTTGACATAAATCAAATGGTTATTTAGCCCCCAATTTCAAAATTAAAGTAACTTTTCTGTCGATTCATTTATTTAAAATTTTTCGCAGAATTGGCAAGTTATGATCACTCTTTTTGCCTATTTTAAAGGTGTCTACAGAATTTTGAAAAGAAAATTCGTGACTATCGACCCATTTTTGCAACATTAAACGATATATTCGTTAGATTTACCGATCAATTCCCTTGACGAGTATAACGTAAACGCAAGTTTCAGTGAACAAATTTTGAGGAAAATCTATGGAGATTCTGGACTTAGTTGTTGAAGGCATGTGAAGATTTAGTATTTATTTTTAAATTTTGTGAAGCACTGGCAATAGTTTTTGATATTAATGAACTTGAATATTATGAATCGGCAATCAGTTGACGCTATTCTTAGAATAAACTCTTTTGATACCAAGCCCATAATAAGTCTTTAAAAAAAAGCAAATAGATACAGAAAAATTCAGTAAAAAAAGTTTTATGGGGAAAATTCCGTACCTGCCATTAAATTTACGGACCTGTAGACACCCTGATTTTGCTCTCATTTTTCAGAAAAATTGCTTGGAAAAAACCAATTTTTGGACACAGATAATCCTGGACACACTAAGTTAATTCATGTGAATTGATTTTTTTTTTAGAAATTGGCATCCCTACTGCAAACTAATGTTTCAATTATGTGTATTGCAATATCTTCCTCAAAATGACATAAGTATGCAAATTTTATAGGAAGGTCTTTATTGATGATAAAAAAAGGACACTGAAATACGAAATAAAAATTTGGGGTATGCACCCAACATTTATTATAGTTTCAGAAAATAGAATCGTCAGCAATATCAGCGTATTTACTGAAAATTGTTGATTCTCTTTAGTCCAAAGATAAATGCTGCCATAAATGAGGTATAGAAAGAAAAAATAGTTACACAAAAACATGAATATTAGTCTAGGAACATTACGTCCATTTTAGACGAATGGAGAAAAAATTGGTAACAAGCTGATTTTTGGAAAACTTGCTCTATAGGACCCCATGAGACCTCAAAAAAGTACTCATGGCTCACACAAAGCTCGGGGGGGGGGGGNNNCCCCCCCCCCCCCCCAAAAGGGCTTTATGGAGCCCATATCAAGGATCACTTTCTTATGAGGACTCATGGGGTCCTGAGGAACAAGTATACGAAAAATTAGCTTGTTACCAATTTTTTCCTAAATTTTTCGTATAATGCCTGGACTAGAATACAAATTCAAAATTAAAAAAAGAGGTAATAAATTCAAAAAATTGAATCATCTGCAATATCAGTTTACTTACTGATACTTGCTGAATTTGCTTAGTCTAAATATAAATTCTGCAATAAACAAGAAACACAGAAGAAGGTAAGAAATGACAACTCCTTTTTATGTGAGGATTCACTGAAATGAATCATAATGAAAAAATAGCTATAGGAAAACTTGAATATTACTAAGTCAACATTAAAAAAAGAGATAATGACAAAAGATCACAGGAAAAATATTGCTCCTTTTTTTAAAGAAAAAGTGAGGAGACTAAGTAACCTAAGAATTAGCACATACATAGTCAGTCAATTTTATGAAAGTAGCGTTATTATCGCCACAAAAAAGGCAAATAACTTATAAGTAATATCAAAAGAGAAACTTAATAATTTGTACTAGGAAAAAGCCAGACGAGTAGAAAAAGAAAAATTCCTGAAGAATTTGCGAAATGTCTTTAAAACATTGAAAATACCACAAATTTTCATTTAACCTGAGTTCTTTCATCAAAACTTAATGTGCGAGCGAGCATACCTCTTGAGCGGATGTTATACATCATCACTAAAACTCATAGTACTGTATGAACCACAGCTCACATAACTTTTAAAAAATTACTGGAGAAAAAAGAAAGAATGTTGGAGTTTGCAAAAAAGAAACAATTATATGAGATAAAGTCTACAATAAATTCAACTTTTACGGTGGATCTAAGCCACAAAAAAGGCAAATAACTTATAAGTAATATCAAAAGAGAAACTTAATAATTTGTACTAGGAAAAAGCCAGACGAGTAGAAAAAGAAAAATTCCCGAAGAATTTGCGAAATGTCTTTAAAACATTGAAAATACCACAAATTTTCATTTAACCTGAGTTCTTTCATCAAAACTTAATGTGCGAGCGAGCATACCTCTTGAGCGGATGTTATACATCATCACTAAAACTCATAGTACTGTATGAACCACAGCTCACATAACTTTTAAAAAATTACTGGAGAAAAAAGAAACAATTGTATGAGACAAAGTCTACAATAAATTCAACTTTTACGGTGGATCTCTGGTACAAGCAGAGTATGGTAGCCAAAATAGTCAAGTTTTCCTGTCATGCCACATTTTTAGGAAATGAGACAGATATTTGATAAAAATCTCTCTTATTTTAAAATATTCACGAAAAATCTTGACATTAGGTTACACCAGGCATACTTGCAGGATAATTGGATGTATTTATTTGGAAGAGGTGTAACTCAAAATTGGACGTATTTAAGTAAAACGGAACAAACTGCATTGCAACGTTTCAAAATTTCCAATCTTTAAAATTTTTTTAAAAGAAAACAAACCAACATTTTTTTTTAAATTCTGACAAAATGTCTTGTATTGAATAAAGAAAATTTCAAGCGATGACATTGGCTATTTTTCCTTTGTATAAAAATAGCACATATTACGAAAACACGTTACAAAATGTTAACCAATAGAATTTTTGAAAATTTGAACTCACTTTTGAGCTGAAGCGATGTTCTATCTAGGTTTAGACCTAACTTCTAAAATATCTTGTTAAAATACTTTCATGAGAAATAGGCACATATATAAATGCGCCTGAAGTTATACTCGTTTTTAACGATACAAATATTGGTAGAAGAGGTATTTTGTATTTTTCAAAACAAGTTTAACTGATGCTTCGTTGATTCATACGTCTATTTCTCTTTAAAAGTGTGTTTGTTTTGGAATTTTGGCAACATACCTCCATCGAACACTGCTTCAGCTTTAAAATGAAGTCAAGTTTCAAAAACATATTCAATGTATGATGTTTTGGGACACATTTTCGTAAAACCAGCTTTTTTATGCAAGGTCTAATTAGAAGTTATACTCCTTTTGAATAAATGCAGGGATGGGATGTAATGAGATCAACTCATTTTTTAAAAGCACCACAAGGCAGGAAAAGAATACAATCTTGGCCCCTGCATGCACTGAAGATCCACCTAATATACCTTCAGTTTACTAACATTAATAAAAATTACGCACTTTAAGACTGAGCAACTTATAAAGCTAAGTAACAAAAGTGGACAAAACAAATTAATTTAGCAGTAAAAACAATAAGAAACGTGAGCAATAATAAAGAAGTAAAAAATTTGGACTGAGTACGGCACATGAGGGCATTATTAAGTAATAAGAGAGGATGGAATAAATCCACTTATGAAGGAACAATATCAAAAAAGGTGAACGATGTTAAATAACTGACAACTTTGGACCAAGTATGTGCATTTACCAATGTGACACTTAAAGGAAAGTGTTTTTTTCTTTAAATACACCCAAATAAAAGTAGCTGGTTCCATATCCAGAATTGAGCTTGGTTCCATTTTGTGCAACAAAATGGCATTTTATTCACTTCGTTTACTTGATTATGTAAGTATGTAATTGTAATAAAGCTATTGGTGGTATTACGCCTACATCAGAGTGAATACTTTATCAGAAATAGCAAATTCAAGAGCCAGTTGGAATTCATCAGCACAATCAACATCTAAATTTTCTGGCAATTCAAAGACGTTGAAGCAATCCCTGGCAACGGGCGACAGAGTATCCCCAAGAACAATTTTTGGAGTGTTAGGTCCGAACCCAAAAGGTGGAATTTTGTCGAAGCCAGTAATAAATTGAAGAACTTCACTGAGCGCATGAGTCGTTTCATGATCTAAAACATAACAGAGGAGAGAGAATGAAGAGCTGCACTTGGTATTATTACGACTGTGAGACTTTGCATGACTCTCTCTTTGCATCTCCTTGGACTTTCTTTTCTCTATTTCCAAATTTAAATGGCTTGCATTTCTAGGATCTGATAAAAATCTGACAAAAAGATTGTAAGACTTCTACTAAGAAAACACTTAAGTAAATGAGTGCCGCCAAGTTCCAAAAACCGTGATATAATAGAACCTTGCTTAGTCATTTGCGACTAAGCCGGAAATTAGTTTAAGTAGGAAGAATCTTTCGGTCCCGTTTTTTACCCATATAACTCAATTCTACAAAAAACCCGGGTTTCTTGGAACGGCTCAATTCCCGAACCCGCTATCGATAAATTTCACTGGTTCTGACCAGAAAAATTTATTGTTTCTCATTTTTCTTCCACTCTTTCAACATTTATCTCCATCCCCCCTCTCTCATAGCGCTTAGCGATTGTTTGCAATAGCTCAGAATGAGACGTACCTTCCATGATCGACTACGACTGAGGAGTGAGGTGCATGAACAAGAGGTAACAACGCAAGCCACATCCTTTTCATTTCCACCTCCCTGCTCCGAAAGACAAGGTGACTCATGAGGGGAAGTTATATGGAGAAGGAGGCTGTAGTCATTAACTCTTTCTCTAAGTTTTGGTTCATTCGTAAGTTCTCGCAGGACATAAACATACCTTCAGTGGCGTGCGGTCCGGATAAGCAAGGCAAGCACTGCTTGCCCAAAGATTTCAAAAGAAAGAAGAAAATTACACCTGTTACATGCATTTTTTACATTTTAGCAAATATAATTTATAAAAGGTGTTCAGTATGTAAATTGCATTGAAAACAGAGAGAGAGACAGAAATACGTAGAGAGAGCGGATGGAGGTGGCGCAGCGCGCTGCGCGGCCTAAACACGAGCCGACTCATGCGCTGGAGAATCGCTTGCGATCAGCTGAGCGGAGAGCCACTGCTCGGCGGCGGAATCAAGGCGGGCGGGTAGGGCGGTACGTTCCGAGTCCGAGCCCTTCGCTGAGCGATCGCAGCTCGCTTCTCTTGGCCATGTCTTGACCCGTCACCGCACCGCAGCGCGCTGCTTCTGCCTCCGATGCGCTATCTTGCTCCCTCTTTCCGTCGCGGTTGTAGCTGCTCCTTCGGAGCAAATGCCCTTAAATTCTATAAAATTTCGCTCACTTGATCTAATTAGTGATGAATTAGAAAATTCTCAAACATGTTTAAAATGCAGAAAATTCTAATTTTCTAACTTATTTTTCTAATTTCTAATTTTAAACTCAAAAAATTCTAAATAATGTAGAATAAAGACTACAATATCTCAAATAAGTGGCAAAATTAGGAGTTAAGAGCATGGAGCCGTCCTCTAATGCTCAATAACATTCGAAACAAGTTGAGTAAACGAAATCATAAGTAAGAGAGAAAGTAATAAAACCACAGTTTTTCAAGACGTTCCATCAGATTTCATCCGAATAATAGAGCAAATACCGTAAAATTTTAACAATTTTCTAGGGAGGCTCCCTGAGGAGGGGAAAGAGACTACGTTGACCCCCCCCCCCCCCGGATGGCGAACGCTAGAGCTTGCCCTGTCACTAAACCCACCGCACGCCACTGCATACCTTACACCCTTCAGTTATTTCTATTACGCATTTTCTGAACAATCTCGGTGAACTATGCGGGGGCGAAAGAAAAAATAAAGTCAAGAGTGAAGAATTTACCGACTATGTTTATTACGCAACTCACTGTGTATTACGCATTACACTAGGTTTCGAATAGTGGTTGCACGCGGCACCGGCAGGCCCGCTTGTGCTTCCGCCTCCCCCTTTACACCATCATCCTGTCTTNTCCCCCCCCCCCCTCTCTTACTATCTTCTCAAGGATTTTTGTCCGGAACCGTGCAGCTGTGTTGAGCAGTATCACTTTCCACTCCCAGTTAATCCCAGTGTCGTGCCGTCTGTGAGGGACGGGCTCGTAATTGTGTAGAAACTTCGATCGACTGATAGCATAATGTTTGCAAATTGAAATACTTATGTTCTACATGGGAATGTAAAGCCCTCAATCAGTTGCATTGAACTGCCCCTGAACTATGAAAAGTCACCTAGTATATGTAAAAGCATTAGAAAAAAGTACTGCCAAAATTTGGGCCCAGAATTCGAAAATTGGAAAAAACAGGAACTCTGATAAGTCAGTAGATTTTGAAAGTCCCGATCAGTACCACCAAACTAAGCGAGGTTCCAATGTAACTTTCATTAAAATGATTATTGTATAATAATCAGGAAGTTTTTTCTGAGCAGTAAGATTCCTCGCTCAGTGTCATTTATCCCTCTTTCACCTTCATAGAAAGGCAGTGAGTGAAGAGTGGGACTGCACAGGAAAAACTTGACAAACAATGAATCACCATAATATGGTGACTCGAGATTACATTTTCCTTTCAGACTTGGTGTCACTCATAAGTTTCCATGTTTATTCAATAGCTTTAGGGTACAAAATTTAAAGGCTGGTGGTACTTACTTTCTGAGGCTTCCAAATACTTTCTGAAAAGTTTGAAAGACAGACTTTTTCTGACATGGTCCGCAATTTGAAACTGTGCTAAAAATGTCTTGGTTGTAAGTTTCTGGTCAGAATGCGTGAGGAAGACTTCTGCGCCTGTGACCTCTTTTAACTTTGATAACAGCTGCAAATCACGGTTAAAGCCTGAGGCAAAAGACTCAGCCTCACCAAGAATCCTATTCACACAATAAAACTGCAGTGCGCCTGTAATGAAATGAAAAATATAATTAAACCCAGCAGGAACAATGGCATGGGGACACAAATACACAACTGAGTTCTCAACTCAAAACTTTTACAATTCATGGGCACTACGAAGGGGTTGAATAATTTCTTAGAGAGGGATGAAAAGCCCATTCATTGAAAATGTACTATGAAAGATTGAGTTACTTACAGATACAAATAAACATGTTGCGTATAGGAGAAAGAGGCCCAGAATTCAACAGTCTGACGGAGGCAAAAAACTGGTTGGTACGGGTGCAATATGTTAGCTTTTATTTTACAGTGAAGGCTCGGTTACCCAAGTTCGATGGTATCAAACAACGGTTGCCTTGGGCTGGTACATGGTAGGGACGGAGGGGGGAGGGACTCGAACTGGAAGCGCAAGGATTACCACTTGAGTGGTACTTGCAGCAGTAAAAAAAAAAAAAAAAAAAAAAAAAAAAAAAAGTAAGGGAAGATAATGAGTTGGGCTGTCGATTATTCGTGTCTCATTAGGAAAGTTAAAAATAATAAATATATAATAATAAATAATGATTGTCACATTACAAAAGTATAAAGCCTCTCCTGCTGTTTTTAAGGAACAAAAATGAGGGGATGACATTCTTCCTTTTACATCAGACCCACATAGAGTGAACAAACTGATTTGGTAACAATACTTGATAGAATGTGATGGAAATCTGAAAAGAGAAAAAAATTTGAAGACTTGCCTTTCACTGCATTATCTCTCTGAGATAGATACGATTCTCCGTGCACTTGGTTTAGAGTCTCCCCACACTGGAAAATAGTGCTGTTCGCCATGGCATTGTTAATTTCCATCAATGACTCCGCATCGATAACTGCCTTGATCTCCCGTTGAACCGCTGGATTCAGTACATCTTCTAGGGTTAGGTTTTGCTTTGCCTTTTCTGAACTGTGAAGCAGGATAGTTGCAAAAGTGCGACTGAAAAAGTTAGGGCTCGGTCCTCCCTGAATCATACTCCATGCACAGATTTCACCCATGTGATTAAAGATTCCTGCTTCGAGATCTGGAGTACATTTTTTTAATGTTTTCGAAAAAATGTTTCCTTCTAGGAGCACATTTTCTTTGATTTCTCCTAGAGCAAGGTGAAACATTTCTTTAACGGTGCCGTGCCCAGCACCTCTCTCACGCTCAAATTTCACATGCAGCCTGGCTGTAAGAGAGGTGCCAGGAGTTATTAAAAGATTATAGAGAACCGGCAAAATCGGTTGGCCCCTTGTTACAGTTACGTACAGATATTCATCTGTTAATTGGTGGAGACAGTAGGAAGGGATACTCCTCACAGTGAATTCTTCCCTTTTACCTTTTTTGGGCAAAAATATATCGTCTTCGTCCGAGACTGTTTCAAGATGTTCTCTTTTGTTTGTGGCAAAATCATCTTGATCTACAGAAAAGTGTGTAAATTCACTATCATCCTTGTCAATAGATGATTTCGGACGGATGTACACTTTTTGTGAAGCATCCGTGCGAGAATATAAAAATTCACCATCAAGGTCTTGTTTGGAGGCAAAAAATTTCCTTAATTTTTTGTTGTGTACGTGTAAGATATCAAAATCAACAACAAGGAGTTTTCGCACAAATTTTTCATAGATTTTACTTCGTACTTCAATCGAAGTCATGGTTCTTTCAAATTTGACACCTTCAAAGAAAAAACGATTTTCACCCAACTCTTGTAATTTGCTATCAGGGACAGGAGAATCGGTGTTGGGTGATTTTAGAAGAATTAAGTCCCTGCAGAAGATGTTGTTCTTCGGTGTTGCTATCTTCTTTGCAGTTTGAGAGTTATTCTTTAAGTTTGTGAAGAGAAGATTGGAATCAATTGTTCCATTGCCTGTAAGGTTGAGAGCAGGTCCTTGCTTTTTTTTGGGCTTCACTGGGGCAAGTACAGTGGGCGCCGCTTATTGTGGTCAACTTGGGCCGGGCCACTTTGATCACATTAAACGGCTGATTATAAAAAGCGAAAAAAAAAAAGTGAAGTTACTCACGATGATTTTGTCCCGACTGTTGACCGTCCCTTGTTCAGCACGCCTTCGTTTTCTCTTAAGAACACCCGCACACTCACGCACTAAATTTAAAAGCCGTAATAATTTTTTTAAAAGCCGTAAAAATTAAAAAGTACATAGTAAAAAGATAAAAACTCAATGTTTTAAAACAATCATTTAAAGAAAGAGTCAATAGTAGCTTGTTTTGTATTGTCTCGTAACAAAGCATTCACGAATGATTCATACTGATACTGAACTTCGAAGTTTTCAGCCAACGATTGAACGCCGCGTCTTAAAGTGGCCAAAGCATTGCGCATTTCTCTGTTAGATGGTGGTGGTAGTGGAGGCTCTTTTTCATCGGTGTCTGAGATCTGCTCCTCCTCCTCATGTTTTTGGAGAATTTGGACGCATATATCTTCCTCAGTAGGCACTGAACAAATTTTCTCGGTTTCTTCGAGAGCAAAAAGTTCTTCAAAGTCGTCAGTTGTGGGCACAGAAGGGGCGTCTATTTCAATGGGCGTTTTGCAGAAGCCAGCCTTTCTAAAGCAGTTACGAATTGTTTTTTCGCTTGTTTTATCCCAAGCCTCCCTGATTTGGTGAATAGAATCTAGAAGATCGGTTTTTTTTGCTATTGCAGCAGATGAAAACTCAAGACAAGACTCGGCTTTTTGGCGCATGATAGGTAGGATATGTAGTGGAAAAGGAGGTTGTTGGGTTTGTTGTGGCTCTGACCTGCTGCTGCTGGGACCAGCTGTATCTGGAAACACAAAAATAAATGGGACCATTAAGATCAATAAAGAGAAGAGCTTGGTAAATATGATATTGATTCAAGAAATTCCACATTTACTGATGCAAGATACGTCACAAATCTCATTTTTTAATCAGGTCAAGATACCATCAAATGCAAAATTATATGTTCATACATTTTGATATTCCTAATTTCCTCTTTTATCAAATTTGTTCATGAAGCGAGAAATGTTTAAAATTTAATTTGGTTCAGTGAAAAGCTAGAAAAATTCAAAAACTCGCCAAAATAAATTACTGAGGAAAATTAAGAAATTTTTCGAAAAGCTGTGGAGATTTCAAAGCTTGCCAGAAAAGTAGGGAGGAATTCTTCCGAAAAGCGAGTAACCTTCGCTTTTTAGATATGTTTTTTAGACTATTAATACGAAGGTCATTCAGAAGTAAGTTTAACTATTTGATAACTCCAAAACTGACCCACCGTTAGAAAGACCATACTGTTGTGGGCTGGCCCACAAGGCTGCTCTTTTCCCCAGGCATCTCTCTTGGCTACCTCCTCGTAACCAAGCATGGGTATATTTGACACCCCTGTTTGTTCACGGACGAGGCTCTTCTTCTCTAGTAAACATATTCTGTCAGCCCAATCTATCACTGCCCCTGATTCTTGGTCTGTCTTGCTGGCCATTCCACAGTCCACAGTGCAGTTTCTCTCGGCTCTCGTTTTCTTTTCCAGATATATTATATGTATCTTTTGGTGTTCCCTTTCTGCATCCTGTCGGAGGCCCACTTCAATACTCTCAGCTTTTCAATGAGCTAGTCTTTAAAATTTGGTCCATGGAGTGAGAACTAATCACAAAAGTTCAATGCCTACCTTATGTGCCACATTTAATGCTCTGCAAGGCTCTCGCAAAAATTAAGATTACTATGAAGAAGAAAAACACAGCGATTCTTCTGTCATAAAATGTTGTAAGACTGATTTAAGGCATCTTGCCGTACCGTTCCACATAGTCAACCACCAAATTCTTGGATTTCCGAAAGCTGCGTTTGAACATAAATGTTATGGCTTTCAGATTTGGAAAGTTCTCCTCATGCACAACAGCGCACTTAACTCAGGAGTCGCTGCCCATGTTCAATTAAGACATTTTTCCGCATTCACCATATTCTCTTGATCCAACTACTAGCGATGTTTTCCTTCTTCTGGAGTTAATCCTTTGCTGTCGTCTGTCGGGCCAGGCTCAAAAAAATAATTTCCACGTTCAGGTCGTATGTCGATTGAGGCCTGCCAGACGACTTTACAGTTTGGAAAGTTTGTGTCGGGGGAGGCCCGACATACGACCTGAACGTGGAAATTATTTTGTCGAGCCTGATTCCTGAAATATGTTAAAATCAGCCAGATTCAATAACGACCTGGAGGGGTGGATGGGGAAATTTTCTTGAGACTTCAAAGGGTTAAAACACTGTGTTGTTGGACGAGAAATCAGCAACGGTGAAGAACTGACAGCTTGAGTTGACAGCTGGGTTAGGTGTAAAGGAAAAGAATTTACGAGGCAGGCATTTGGAGGTTACTGTGCCTTTTGCGAAAACGCAAGGATTTGGTGGGTGCCTGTGAGGAAAAGTAAGGTAAGATGCCTTAAATCAGTCGCACAGCATTTTTCTTAAAGTAGTTTTCGTAAGAAAGAATAGTTTTGCCTTTGCCCCTCAAAGAGGTTAACTTGATTTCTAGAGGAGCCACCACATTGGAGCCATTGAACATGAGGTAGGCGGCAAAAATCCATGATATCTTTGCACTCTGTCGACCAAATTTAAAAACCTATAACCCGTTGAAAGGCTAAGAGTGTGGTTGTTCCGACAGAGGGTCAGTTTTGTTCCTGGCACATGTAGTTTTGCAGATATGAAAAAGGTAAAATTACTTTTAAAATAACCCTCATATATTCTTAATATCCTTATCAGTACTTCTATACCAACCTCTTTCAAAATCCATGCTTTAAACATACAGTAGACACCCTGAGATCAATGCATGAAAGTAGGCTACTCTGGATGATGAGGCGTTTTTAAAATTTTAGATTCCAGAAATTTTAATTATTACTTTTCAACTTCTGGGGTCTACAAGACATTGCACACCCATATTCAGTTTAATTATTACGATGAAATCAAAGCTCAAGGTTTATTCAAGCAGCACTATCACAGACTCGTAATATGAAATCGAAAAGTTACTTACTCGGTAACAAATGCTGTAGAACAGCCGGATTTTGGGCCACTTCCTGCAGCAAGTTTCGGAATTGGGCTACCGTATCTTCGGAAGCCGACATGGTATCTGAAATTCCAATAAGGAATAAGATATTAAAAGTTAGGATCACAAAAACTTTCATATTAGGTTTTATCCAAACTTTTCATTTGTATCTCTAGCCTTACTAAAGTTTATTCCCCACTGTGCTTGTACGAAAAATTATTTTGGCACCTAAAAAATAGGTTAGGTTGACTGATGCCTGACCTCTACAAAATCATGATCCCAAACAAAGACAAAGACGGAGCGCTAAAAGCAAAAAATGAAGCTTCTCTTCAATCACCTCAACTTCCTCTACTATTGGCTAGAGGATTGGCGGCGAAATCGGGACAAGTTTGAAATTCAAATGTAGGGCGGGAACTTAGTAAAATTGCGGAAACAAAGTATTTTAGGTTGATTTTTGCCGAAATTCACTTACACACTCACATTTGTATAACTTTAGGTTAGTTTTGGTCCGTCGTCGAGCGATTAATTTCATTTCGGAGTAACGGTCATCAACGACTGTAATGGCCTGTTTGAACCGGCAGAACTACCATGAGCAGAAGAAAAACTAACTTTATCTGAGATTACTGCCTGTTACCGAGCAAAAGTAGGTGTATTATAGTAGGACGCAGTCTCAACTTTCTTAATATATTCGTTTTAGGCATTTCAAATACGTTTCGAAGAAGAAATGTGGAAAAATCAAGAGGACAAGTTCAAATCAAATTTCCGTTTGCCGCCATGGATTCCAGCGCTCATTTACACACTCACACAAACACACAGCGCCAAACCAGGCTTCACTTTTTTCCCGTGCTTTTAGATACGAGCACTCCGTCTTTGTGTCTTTGATCCCAAACTTCGAGGCAATTCAACTTGAGAAAAGTTTGGAGCAAATACCGATTAAGGACGCCACTGGTCCACTCGATCCACCTTGTGGGTGCTTGTACTTGTACACTCCGAGTATACATTCTAGCGAGAACGAACAAACATCATTGATCCGCGAATGGTTGTGCAATCTGTGTGTATGCGCACTCAGTCAGAATGTACATTCGGAGTGTACATGTACAAGCACCTTAACACTCAGCAGCTTGGTAGGCTGCATACTAAGGTTGTATTCTCAATCGCTTAGAGAATCCAACAGATATTCAGCTGCAACACTCAGCAGCTTGGTAGGCTGCATACTAAGGTTGTATTCTCAATCGCTTAGAGAATCCAACAGATATTCAGCTGCAAGCCATTATGCTATCGCCCCGTGAGCAATAGAATAATTTCAGCACAGCTGAAAATTTACCCAATTGCATATTGAGGAAGGGGAAAACCAGAGATTCAACTGGACTTACGACCCTATTTTAATTGACCATTGGTAAGAACACTTTCGATACCAAGGAGGACACAGAAATATCCATGAGCACATGGTTAATGTAGACAGCGTGATACCATCAGCATGAATACAGCTTCAGATACTTCAAATGATTCTGTATAGTATCTACTAGGCGATTGAAATAAATATATGAAAAGAAGGAGATGAAATCAGAACTTACATTACTTAATAGTAATTAGTTGAACAGGACTCAGGAGCAACTAATGTAGACAGCGTGATACAATACCACCTAGCCATACCTTTCACCGCCATAAAATAAGCTTGGAGGTTAGGTATCCTCGGTAAAAATAACGACTATTCTTCCAATGGCGGGAAATGGGTTGAGGAGTTTGATGAGGGTTTGACATCGATGCCACCGATGCACTTAAACACCTGTCTGAGAATTTGCAGCGAGTTTTTCTGCAGATGGCGCTTCATAGTTCACGATCGATTTTCTTAAAATAACTTTCAAAGTCTGCGTAAACCTCGTAATTATGTCTTATCATTTTATTATGATGTCTAAACTTCCAATTGAGATCATTCGGAAACGAGGTTATAGAAGAATTTTTAGTATGGATAAAAATAATCAAGCAAGGATTTAATTGAAATTACGGATTTTCATTTATTTCCATCGTATACATTATACTACAGCAAACGTCTTAGAGTATGAATAAATGAGTTCTCCCTGAAGGACCGTGGTAAAGGAGTTTTAGTTCATCAGCTTTCATATTAATGTCCTCGATTTCAGGATCCGTTAACATCCTAGCAAAGATTCCCTGTAGATTCATCTTACAGCTTACACTCGTAGATCTTCGAATAGAATGGTGGCAAGTATGGCTATTCCGTAACCGCCTTCATGCCTAGTGAGAGAGATGATGGGATAAAGAGCACGTTTTTTAAGGAATAGTACAATCAATATGATACTCCGACTACTCTAGAGAAAAAACTAATTAATCACCTCCATATTCCTTTTAAGTGTATCGAAATGATGAAGCTCTAAGTATAAAATTTAATCTTCGTCCCCGGCAGATCCCCACGAGCATTTACAAGCAAACGATAAAAGCGTTTGCCTCACACATTTTTATCGTTTCATCTATTAAATCGGAACATAGTCGAATTCTTTCGAATATAGCTGACTGCATAACAAAACTATTCTCTTTTTCAATAAACAAAGTGGATTTGTTGAAGAGCCGTCGAAACACTAACTTGGAATCACCGATGATAATATCCTCAATCGGAGTCGAGATATGCATTAGGTGGTTATGTATGACATCAAAATTCAGCTTAAACAAATTCCATTCTTCCATGCTCATACTAAAAAAATTATTCGGCATGTCCAGTTTGCCGAATAAAATTGAAACTGGGAAGTTAGCCGCCCATTCGATGCCTACACTTTCTCGCTTTAAACCGGTGTTGTTTAAGTCGTAAACTCTAGACAACAGTAAATATGGTTTGGTTCTCCACTCAATCAATCCTCTTTTTCTGAGTGGCTCACCTACTGAATCGGTAGAAGCAGCATCATTGGTATCAAGGGGGGTGGGGTTTGTTCCTATTTTGTTGCTGTTGAGGGGGCACCTCTGCTACCAGCACATCAGCATTGATGACAGGAGAGAACAAGTCCAACGCTTTCTCCATTTCGGCCACTTGAAAAAAATAGAATTATACAAAATGTTTCGTGTAAAATAAATTTATTCAAACACAAAATGGTTGTTATTAATTATTTCAAATATCTCAAAAAAAAAAAAAAAAAAAAAAAAAAAAAAAAAAAAAATACTACGTAAAAAAACGTATAACGACGTGTACGTATAACGTAAAAACAAAGAAAAACATAGAAAAAACAAGAAAATATCAATGAGCAAAGAGTACCAAGTAATTCCTAATACCTAAATCTAGATCTGTCATTCTTATCGTATCCATCGCCATTTCCGATACTCTCCACGCCTTCTTCCTCGATCTTCTGTAGATCGTATTCCGCAGGTGGTAATACGGTATTATCTCCTCTTCTACCCCATGCTGCTGCACTTGAAGGAGCGGGAAGGCGGGAGAACCTGCGGGACGCGATCTTCTCGGAGAATACAGACTCTGCCCCGCCCTCTTCAAATCCTGCAGCCTTGCAAGCGCCGTCTTCTCCCTTAGCATGCCAAACCATCTTCTAGCCGTAGCGTTATTCATCTCGAAAACGTAGGATTAATGACCAAAACCGACCTCCTCGAATGTTGTTTTCATTTTTACGTCAGAAAGTGAAAGAGCCAATTGTAATGAACCTATGCTACGAGTAACACCGTGCTGTACCTCAAAGAAAAGTGTCTTATCATTCTTGGACTTCGGGCAAATCTGGAAGAATGTTTGTATTGTGGAAAAAGGGTTCGAAAAGAACTATATCGGCACGAGCTTTGCTGTAAACCTAGCGGCAAGTTATGTATTATCGCTCAGAAACTTTAGTTTCTTTCTCTTTGTTCCGAAAATGCTGAAGGTGAGACAGAAGGTCTTTTTCATAAGAAATGTAATTCACAGTATAATCCTTTCTGTGGAATAATCTCGCGTATAATTTACATGCGCTAATTTCTCGTAAATAAGGAACAAATGGCTTCTTACGAATGTACGAGGTAATTTTTCGAATCCAATGTTGCGGGATTGTCAAATCATGTGTTAGAAGGTGAAATATGTACGAAAAATAAAGATACAACATATTCGTACGTACTTAAGGCGAGACAGAAGGTCTTTTTCATAAGAAATGTAATTCACAGTACAATCATTTCTATGGAATAATTTCACGTATAATTTACGTGCGCTAATTTCTCGTATATAAAGAACAAATGGCTTCTTACGAATGTACGAGATAATTTTTCGAATCCAATGTTGCGAGATTGTCAAATCATGTGTTAGACGGTAAAATATGTACGAAAAATAAAGAATACAACGTACGAGTTATGTCAAAAAATTATAATTTATATTGTAAACATAGCATTAGACTTCCATAACATCCCGCACCTTCCCTCGCAAGTCCGCAAAATCATTGCGCATAGTGAAGAGATGATTCAGTTCGGGCGGCCGGATTAAGTTGTTGTTGGCGAGCAACATTCTCCTCCGCCACCTGCGAATTGTTTGCGAAGGAGAGGATCATGTTCCCGCCATCAGAGAGGGAATTCGCTAAGGTTCACCCACGCTGACAGGAGTTTCCGGCACTTTTCCGGCTTGTCAGCACTTCAAATGGAGGTGGGGGGTTGGGGGTTTGGGATTTATGATCGATGATCTGGATTCGATGGCTGCCCTCCCCTCCCGAGATAGTACCCTCATTAACGCAGGATACCATCTCGTTTAAAATCCGCGGTAAATGAGAATCAAATGAGCGTCGCGGCGATATTTGATGTTCGGCCGTTCATTAGGTATCGGGGAAACCAGACTTAATGGCTCTACTCATACCTATTCGCCATATTAATTTCTAGATCTAACTCGGCCTAATGGCTAACGGAACGTTTTAAATCATATGTTATCTCTCACAATTTACGATTCTACCTAAACATTACTCGGGACAGATCTTCCTGCTCCGTTATCCAGTACATACATTAAAGGAACATATCCTTTTTATAGCTCCATAAGAGAATTTTAAGGAGAATACTATTTTTTCGATTCGTTTTTTATCTTTAATGTTTGATCGCAAGACGAGATACATACAACATTAACGAGATTATTTGTACACGATCCGTCCATTCCATGGTAACCGTCCCATTTTTATTCGTGGGTGAGCTTCCAACTGTTTCTGGTGAATCCAAAGCTTCTTTTTTCGAAGGCCTAGGGGCTCATTTAAACGTTTCAGGCGGATGGAACAATTTTTTAAAGTAAGAAATTCCTCCCACAGTACTTTAATTATAACCGGATCGGAGATGTAAACATATTTTGGGTCCAGCTTCACTGACCAAGGTAGCCGAGGCCCATTTGCCCAAGGCCCAAAT